AAAACATATAAATAAATGAAAGAAAAGACAATTTTGTTGACTTAAATTTAAATTTCCTCATTATTATGCATATTGTTGTTATTATAACTTTTATTTCATATAGGGACCTAGTGTGCAGAAAGTAATTCACCCCTGTGAGGTGAATTCTATAATAGTCCAAAAATAAAAATGAAAACTTCCTTGACATGTAACAGCAGCATATATATCTACATACTTTGAATGCTTGCGTTACGAGAAAATTATATCTTTCCTGCTCGTGCGTTCTGAGCATCATAAAAATTTTATATGGCTTCGCATTTGAAGGATATGCAGTTCCATCGGATCTACCTGCATATGCAATCTGACTTGTTATCAATTTTTTGCAATGCCTGAATGGTATTATTACCACTAAAATATCAAATGAATTACTGTAAGCAACGATGCCATTACAACACAACAAAGAAAAAAAACTTAGGGCTTATAACTTATGGTAGGCGAGTTGGCGTGAATATACGCGGTCGTGTCCGCTTCACCCGACCTTCTCTTTTTGAACGGATTCATATTCTCAGCAGGTTTTGGTGTACTTTGAAGATATTTCATCTTTCCCAAAAAGTTTTGCAAAATCACTTGATTTCGATATGTGTAACGTAAGATCTGATTGGGCACTAATTTGATTGGCTACGAAAACATGGCAAGAACTTTATTAACTGGTGATATAGCCTCCAAATTATAGGATAATACTGTCGTTTTTGTGATTTAATATATAGGAACTTTTAAATGGAAACGAGGACAACTCACTCAGGGTCAATAACACTACAAGTTATAATAATAAGACAGTTATATTTCTACCCAATCAAAATAATGAACAAGGTTTCTAGTGTACTCGGGGTGGTGTGACAAGAGTTGAAAATAACTGAGTTTTTGGATCAAAGTTCTCAGAATTATCCTTGCTTCTATCAAAAAGGCCCATATATCACGAAGTTGTATCCGAATGACAGTTTTGTAGATACCCAAAAATTTATTTCAAATATTAAAGGCCGAAGAAAATATACAAAATTACAACGAATTTTAAAAACCGATTATTCATATACATGACACACTTAGTATGGATTTTGATGGAATTAAGAAATTGAAAAGTATCTGAAGATAATGTTAAATGTTGTGAAATTCTTAAATGATATTAAATATGCCTTTGAGATTCAAGAGGTCATTTGTTGAACCGTCAGTCTGTGCGGTTAACAATATCAAATATTAACCAATATACTTGATATATTATTATTTTTATTTATAATAAATTGAGCCACAGTAAAGCTATTTACATTTGTAGCAATTCCGAGAATGATAAAATTATCCCAAGGGAATGAAAGCATATATATACAATCAATCAAATAAAAATTAAATAAACAAGGTTTTTGTT